TGTGTGTGTGTGTGTGTGTGTGTGTGTGTGTGTGTGTGTGTGTGTGTGTAATTTCTGGGGCTGGCAAGATGGCTCAGTGGTAAAGAGCACTTGATGCTCACGTAGTGGTCCTGGATTCAGTTCCCAGAACCCACATGCTGGCTCACAACCATCTGTAACTCCAGTTCCAGAGGCTTTGATTGATGCCCTCTTCCGGCCTCTGTGGGGGCAACAGGGCATGGTGGGGCACACCTTTAATCCCAGCCTTCAGAGGCAGCAGCAGGCGGACCTCTGTGAGTTTGAGACCAGTCTGGTCTGAAGATAAAGGGCCAGTCAAGTTCAGACCCTGTCTCAAAATAAAGAGAGAGAAGAAAATGCTAGGGTTTTATTGATGATGGTGATTGGTTTTTTACATCCTGGAAAAAAAAAATTTCCAAATGCTAGATCAAGGATCACTTTGTAGTTCCTTGAGCTCCAACCTGGGTAATTTCAATTTGCGTGGCAGGAGATTGCTCCAGTAACCCAGGCTGGCATTGGAACAATTGTCAGGTCTTCTAGTGGGTCCTGTTTGCCCCAGAGGGACCTAAGACAGCTGCCAGAGTGTCGTGAGTGAACCCAGATAGCCATTTCACAGAACAGGTGTGGCTTCTCCTGCTGGCCTGGACACAGTTTATGAAGCAGCAACTCAGAGTCGACCTGCGAGGAAATCTCTCCTGGCTCCATCTGTCTGTGTCTGGTTAACCCATGAGGGCTAGCATCCAGCCTGCTACACTCCCCGAGAGACTTGCTGACTGCTTTCTGCATCTAGAGCCCAGAGTTCTGCCCAGCAGTCTGAAGCTTTCCCTGGTGACTCACTAGTTTATCCTTGAATACCCACAGAGGAAACAGATTCGGTCTACCTTGTGCTCAATCATCCCCCTACTTGTAAACTTCTCCCGTTTGCTATTGGATATCCATATTGGATGTTGGTAGGGTTTTTTTCCATTTCAAGGCAGAAGTTAAGAACTTTTGATTTAGGCTTGTAGAAAGAGATTTTCTGTCCCACCATCCCACCATTCA